CTGAAAAAACAGCAACAATTGTTTTATTATATGATTCAATGATTAAATGATATAAACTCATTTAGCACTTCATGCCATCTTACTTGTTTACATTTGCTGAAGCCCTAGCCAAATGTAATGAGAGAATTAGTTGCTATATATGAAAAAAGAAATTATGTCTATTGTAAAGGAACCATGCTATATATTACTGGATTAATTTGAATCGAAATGAATTGACCCTATATCTGTTGATACATGTACATGTGTATCGATGTGCAATAACTGTCCGAAAGTGCCAATGAATCTAATTGTTGTTATAATGACCTTGTTAATAAATAGAGCCTATCATTGGGTCGTATTTTGGCTGACATGTTTCATACCAGTTGTTAGGCCTTTGCTTTTATATTATGCTGAATTTGACTACGGAATGTTCCATCTACCTGATCTAAACATAGAGTTCAGAGCGGGCGTGACCTGTCGACCTGGTGGGACCACAATAGACAACAGAAGTTTTACGTAGGAATATATATGGCCTTTTGCCGTGAATAGACAAATTTTCCATTGATAACAGTTATTTCCCTTTGGCGTGAAAAAGTCAATTTTCTCACTATATCCTTTGTAACTTGCCTGTAATTATTTTAAATTAAAATTATTTAAATGTCTTTTGACAATTTTTTACATATCTTTATTGGCAAAGTATGGGTCGATCAACAAAAAGAACATAATAGACATACACACATAGATTTTATTTATCGGAGACTACCACGTAAATTTGGTAATGTTATAGAGAGAAAACATCACCTTATGTTGTTTGACCTTAAATTACAGAGGGGAAATAACTCATGTAAATGAGAATTATGTTATAAGATCTTTCTATTCTGGACACTGAAGGAGGTGACATCACAACAAAATTACTGTACTATATTAAGATATTTTGCATAGCAATGATTAAGTTCAACAGCTATACATGTATATCAGAGATGTACATACTGCTCATTTTTGCATGAATTATCAAATATCAAATCTAAGCAGTATGTACATCTCTGATATACATGTATGCACAATTGATCTGCATAATAACAATTTCCTATCTTGAAAACTGTAGGAGAAGATATCTTGACAAATGGATTCCCCTATATACAGCATTTTGTTAAAAAATGACTAAGTTCAACAGCTGGTATTTTTGGCATAAATTACTGAGAATTGGAAATTAAAAATTATGTGCACATCTCTGATATGTGTGCAACTGATCTGCAAAATCAAAAAAAAAGTTCCCATCTTGAAAACTGTAGGAAGAATTGGACGGAAAAAGCAGGGTTGGATGGAAAATACCAGTGGTGGTAAAAACTGGTATTTCCCATCCCGGTAAATACTACAAATTTCACCTAAACTGGGAAATACTTGAAAATCATTCATTCAATATCATAAAAAAAATTCTGAAATAAATTAAACATAAAAACAGAAGATGAATGAAATTGAATATGTCTCATACTGCAATTCACCGTTCAAGGTAGCTTAGTCGGTAGAACACTCGCTCCGTGATCGAGAGGTCGTGAGTTCGAATCTCGGCCGCGACTGACCTATCGAAAAAAATGGGTTGCAACTGTTCCTTCGCCATGCGCTCGGCACTTTGAAGTGAAAGTTGCGGGTCCTTCGGATGAGACCTTAAAAACCGAGGCCCGTTGTCACGACAGGCGTTGGCACGATAAATACTCATTTCTCAATGATCCTGAGTGTCGAGTAAAGGTCAAAATTTGAAGCCCTTCACCAGTATATGGTGACGTCTATATATTAGTTAAAAATTCGCAAATGGGACGTTAAACAGTATACAATCAATCAATCAATCATACTGCAATTTAACATATTCAGAGTGAGTCTCGACTCCAGGTCCCATATTCATGTTAATGTTTCCTTGGCTGTATTTTAAGTACAAAAGTCAAGTTTTCTAATCAACCTTTCTTTTCAGTTTTGTAAAATTATTCAGTTTATTAATTATAAATCCAAGAACAAAATAAATTTGTTTTAATTCCTCTATTAGCACTGTGGATATGTCAATAAATCATGTTGTTTAAACAAATCGCTCTTGTCAGTTTTGTGCTCCAGCTTTGAGATATAATTACCTTGAGAAGAACTGTAAGACCTCCTGTTAAGTTTGACATTTACACCATATTATACATTTAACAATTTTCTTAGATCCTTCTTAAGTTACACAAAAAACCCAAATAGGATCTTTGGGTTCATTTCATGGACATTTATAAACGACGTCTGACTCAATTAAGCATAAAAAAGCCACACTCATGAACAATATACGAGGGTACTGTGTTATGATTATGTAAAATGAATTACTGGAAAAACAATTAAAATTTTAAATCAGGGACAGTGATAATAGGTAGATATCTTAGTCAGTTATGTGTACTACATCAAATATGCTTAAAATTATTAAATATTTAGCTATATCATAAAAGTATATATTATATTAATATATGTGGTATGGCAGATTTATTAAAAATCATTTTTCTCTTGAGATCATGCTTATCCATTATTTACTATATGTGTATGCCATATTTACTCATGTTTTTGATTTGACACGTGAATTCTACTCATGTAACTTAATTGGCCAGCAAATCTGTACCCCTATGTAAATTTTGTTTAATCGGTGTTCCTTCTATAAATTCTGAGCCATTCCTATCAGTACTGAAAATTTAACTCTTGCAAATTTTCCTGCTGCCTATTGTCCCCACTTGAAAGGTAAATTTTTGTCTATTATTTTTTTTTATGGAATATATTTGAAGTAAAAGTAACAAGCTTAAGTATTTTTCATATTTCTGAAAAAGCGTTCCTAAACTATGAAAACGCTACTTTTATGCCGAGTAAAGTTAAAATTTCTTATTTTTGAAGTGAATTAAGATATTTTTGAGTCACAAAAATTATGTTATTTGTATCAATTATTTTCAAAGTCTATGTGGAAAATGATTTTGTATATATTTCAGATCTGCTACTGCATTTTCTTTTAATGAAATAATAAAACCCGCGTCCTAACTCCGCATGGTTATATCAGCTATATTTCTTACATCCCAGTATTCCCGTGGATATACCAGTAATTCACGGGAATTACCAGTAATTCCCGGGAATTACCAGTATTTCCCGGGAATTATCAGTATTTCCCCTTGTCCTGGAAAATATGAGTATTTCCTACTTTTATACCAACCCTACGAAAAATGGATACCCTTTGGCAGCCGCCCGTCTGCCAGTTTATCAAATTAAAAGCATATTTTTGGTTTGGTAAGTACTAGTTAACTCGTCCAACCACGTAAGTTAAGCATTTAATCTTTTTGACCTCACGGTTTTAAAGATCAACGAAATCTACAAGGAAGAAAAGAAAAGAATGAAATTAAGAAAGCTCCATTATTTTTATTTCTTTGCATTTCTTTATATTTTCACTTCCTCCTCGATCCTTGAAAAATATTAAAATTACGCCAAATCTTTGGTGTTTTACTTAATACACAACTTGCCTGTTTTCAAGGAAAAAAGACGAATTTTACAGATGAGACTTTTATTTAAGAGCCAAAAATGAAATCTTGCATCACACTAGGTATAATTCATATCCTGTCATATCACGTGACTTTTGCACAGTTATTGTTTTGAGGGTCACAAAAGGGTAGTTGAAATATTAATTCATAATTTATTTAAAAAAGAAACTGAATTGATCTTAATTATATATGGTTATCGATATTGCTATACTGCATCTATTAAAACTGTGGATGCAGTTGTGGAAACTAATGTACAACACAAATTATATACATGCACCCTTTTGATCGAACAAGATTTAAACTGATATAAAATCAACTTCCTTCGTAAGTCGGGAAAGTTGCTTGATAATTCTTTTCGAGATGAAGGGTTCGCGATGAAGAGGTTTGTATGATTAATTTATAATAGTGTTCAGAAAGAAACTTAAACTAAATAAATTTAAATTATTTATCTAGATAAATAGTTATATAAATAAATTTAAAGTAATTAATTTTGAAATGCAAGGATATTATATATTTTTTGATCAGACATGGAAAATAAACTTGTTTTACGCTCCATTCGAGAATTTTCCACTCATATAGAGACGTTATTTCATGTTAGAAAAAAAATTGAAAATTCAATAGCATTTTTTCCGTCTTAGTGACTCTCGCAAAAAATCAGTATCCGTGTATGTCGTCTTTGGCTTCGTTTTATTTTAAACGATGACATATTGAGTAAAGTGGAGAAAAATTATATAAATTAAATTAATGAATTGTTAATTAAACGAAAAGGAAACTACTAGTATGAATTCAAAATGGAAAGAGAAAGAAGTTGAATCAATAATGTTTAAATAACCATGAACTCCTAAATATATGTATAAATGTTTACAGCAGATTTTCAAAATTAGAATTACTAGTAATTTAATGTTGCAATGATATTCTTAGAAGAAAAAATAATTCTAGAATGAAATGTATTTCATATTTTGTTAACAAACATTAAACGTCCTCCTGAAATAAAAATCTAGAAGAAATGAGTATAATAAATCGGATAAGAACTTTTCTATACCCTACACACACTTAAAATAGATTAAGAGATAAGAACGCTTGGAACTTGTTTCGTCTACAGTTTCCCTTGCAGACAAAAAAAACTTCACTGCAAAATAAAAATCTGAAATAAATTTCTGACTTAAGAATTTATCTTTCGATTTAAGGAAACAGACAAGCTATAATTCAAAATAGAATAAAAGTAAACAAATTCAGCCAAGTTTTTAATTATGTTTCCAATTTTCAAAGTAATTTTCTGTTTTCTATGTAAAACAATTGCATGATTTATAAATCTTACCTTCGAACTAAAAAAATAATAAAATGACAAATATTTACAAATGTCTTTTTATTCCGTTTCTGAATTTTCATGCAACACTAAGTCTTGAACTAGTGTCTATTAAATTATTGCAGAAATAAATTGAACTTATACTAATTCTCAGTAATTTCCATTTTCTTTCAAAAGATAAAAAGATGGCGTCCTCGACTTTACGTCAAGGACAACATTACCTGGAATGCGATATTTGTAAAAGTCCTGTCCAATTCACATGCAAAAGATGTGCTGTCAAGTTATGCAGCACATGTGTAGGACCACATTTGCTATTAAAATCAGTAAATGGTCATGAAGTTACAAAATATAGCGAACAAAACAAATCCGAGGACGAAGAATGCCTGACACATCCCCTGCAACAGTTTAGTGCTTTCTGCAGAACGTGTGACATTCCTGTCTGTGTCTTATGCGTTTCCATCAAGCACAAGACACATAATATTTGTGAAATATCCGAGAAAGTTGACTTATTATCCGATTTCATCACGACAGAAAATGAACGGCTACAGTCAATGCGATCAGAATTGGAAACAATCCTCGATCACATAAGTAAAAGATCTGCAGCACTTATACATGTATACAAAGAGATAAAAAACAAAATTTCATCCCATGCCAAGCAGTGGCATCAGGAAATTGATAAAACAGAGAACGCACTGCACAAAGACCTAGATGAATTGCAGGAAAAACACGCTGAAATATTATTGAAGCAGAAAAAAGAATTTGAAAAAGTACTAAAGAAATTGAAAAACCTAAAACAAAGAGTCTTCATCTTGACAAAATCTAAAGACGTCTCTGGTTTAATGGAACTTAAGCTTGAACTTGAAAATCAAAAGATGCCAACCTTCATAGAAGAAACCCGGCCGGCATTCTTCCAACCTTTCAAGTTTGACGAAAGTTATACAACATCGTATTTCGGGTACGTGGAGACAATAGAATCACACAAACTTCCTATCAATGATCTGACACAACAAGACCAAATCTCTTCATCACGACAAGCTTTAGATGTACCTATAGTTCTGTCCGCCTTTGTTACAGAGTTTTCAGCTGACGAGGAAACCAACCGGTTGTATGACATGGTTTCCCTCAGTGATGACAAAGTTTGGATAGGAGGGGCAGGTGAGGAGCTCAAGTTGTTTGATCTCCAGGGACGTCTCCACGACACTGTCACCATTGCAGATGCCAGTATGTACCTGACACTTCATGATGGAGATCTTGTGTATACCGATCCAATTGACGAGACCGTGAAGAAAGTAATAAACGGTGAAATAGAAACGTTATTCTTTATCGGTGAGTGGAGTCCTCGCGGTATCACCTGCACTGCGGCACGCGACTTCCTGGTGTGTCTTCGATCGGCAGATGAAACAGAGTCCAAGGTTGTAAGATACAGCAGTTCCGGTGACGTGCTGCAGGAAATCCAGTATGACTCCGAGTACCAGCCTCTGTTTGGAAAAACACATTACGTGGTGGAAAATGGCAACAGCGACATTTGTGTAGCTGACTGGGATAAAGATGCCATCACAGTCGTTGACAAGTTTGGAATATTCAGGTTCTCCTACACAGGGAACAAAGCATCCCAAGAGGAATTCAAACCTGGCTCCCTTACCACAGACAGCATGCATCACATCATCATTATGGACGATAAAAACAAGATTCACATGTTGGACAGAGACGGTCGATTCCTGAGTTACATCATTCCTGATCAGGGGATAAAGAGACCACGAGCTGTGTGCATCGTTAGGGAGGGGGAGTTAATGGTGGGGGAGTGTATAACAGGAGTGGTCAAGAGAATCAAGTACTTACACGAAGGAGGAAATTTGAAGACAAGATATCTACTACACGTGTGATATGAGTTCCATTTTCCAATAACCAGAACCTTAATTACAAAATTTGAACAAATATCGAAGTAGCAGTTATCCAGACATTCCTATTTCTAAGTTCCTTTTTTAATTATATTTTTTTATTATCATTATTTGTATATTTCTAGTGTTATCTTCATTTTGTGGAGGGGCGCTTGCTTCGTAATCGGGAGCCCTGGGTTCGATTCTGGTTCGCTGCGCCTCTTCAAATCTAAGATGTAAACATAGGGAGTGACTGTTCTTTCTCCAAGTGCCCGGCATCAGAAGTTAAAGTCACGGTTCCTCCGTATTAAACTTTAAAAACCGAGGTCCCGTGACACGGTAGGCGTTGGCAAGATAAAGAACCCTCACTGCTCAATGGCCATGAGTGCCGAGTATAGATCTAAAACTGAAGCTCTTCGCCGACATACGGTGACGTCTCTATATGAGTGAAAAATCCTCGAATGGGACGTTAACAACACACAACAAATCAAATTTCATTTTGTTTCAAGTATTTGTGTTGTACTGAAGAATGCTACCTTAACATAGTTTTGATATTAAATTCGAAAAAATTAAGATGAGAATTTTTATCTGTACAGAACTCATTTTCAAAGGTTTTAAACTTTTTTGGGATAAAGTAAATAACTTATAGTCTCTTTTGGTCAAGTTACTGTGTAGAAAAGAATAGCATCTCTTTGTAAAAAAAACTTTCTTTGAGAACCTGCTGTCTTTTTTGCAGGAAGTAACTGAAGCATTATATATTATATGCATGTTTATAAAGTTCTACAAAAGGATTGCCTTACTGTAAAATACATTGATGCCAATCATTATACAAGATACAGGATTTATTAGTTCTATTTGGGACCCTAGAGGAGCAAAAAAGATTTACAAACATCCAAATGATAGAACAAACCTGATCTTAAATAAAATGAGCAGTGCTTAAGGGGGCCAGCTGGGGTTTTCATTGAGCAATACTTCGCGCAGCATAGTAAAATAAAGAGTATTTACTCTTTTAAAGCAACTGTTTTTAAATAATTTATAAAAATTAACATATTTAGGAAATCTAAGGTTTAAAAATCTAATTACGTTTTTAAATAACTGATTTTTTAAACGATTTTTCAAATGATGTGTAGATAGACGTCGTAATAGTGTGTTTTTGACGTTATGAATAACCGAAGTTCTTTAAGCGGGCTTATTAATTGTGTCATAATATAAAAGGTATAAGATGGATGCTCTTGAAATTTTAAACATAGGAAATTGAGAATCTCTTAATCATTTTTATTAATTTTTATGTGAATCTGGTATCTGTCATGTTTTCTTGTACTCCATGAAAACAGGAAAATATCATGAATTTTAGCATTTTGAGATGCCCCCTCTGGAAACCAGAAACCAGAAGAATTTTGTGTTTCTTGCATAAAATGTTCAATGTAATATTACCCATCAAATGATATAATTTGAGCAAAAAGTCTATAGTAGCATTTGTATAATTTGCTCCGAAGTGCGAAAAATGGTATTTTCCTATATAATCCTATAGTAAATGTACCTGTATTTTGAGATGGTCCCTAAAAATTAACCAGACTGTAGATGTTCACTAAACTTGGCATATATACTGAACTCAATGTAAGATACATATAGTATAAAAATAAAGAGTTTCTCTGTAGTAGTTTTCACACAATAAAACCCCAATTGGCTCCCTTAATTGTATTATCATTGATAAATGCATCTACAAGAGATATACTGAATATACATATTGTATATGTTATAATAATATACAGTCAAGTAACCGGAAAGATGCATAAACGCATATCAAAGAACAGAATAGATGATATATTGCCATACATATATATACATCCGAAATTGTATTTAAATTTTTTAGTTAAGGTAGATTATCAAGGAATCTAGCAAGTGATCTTAGAATTCAAGTGTCTTCATTAGTCATGAGCCAGTGAAATTAATTATCATATGACAGAGACTGAAAATCTTTAAATTTATTATTACAAATATTTATGAATTTAAGTCTTTCTACGTGTACACTAAAATGAGGACATACAAGGAGAAAATAAATTTCATCCTGTATCTCCTTGTGATCACAAAGGAAACAAATTTGTTCATCTTTTGGTATTTTTTGATACCGTCCAATTTCAATTTTAAGCCTGTGAGCTAATATTCGTAACCTTGTTATGACTGATCTATGTTGATCGTATGTTAAAATATCTAGATAGGGTTCAAAACAAAATTTAGTCTTTACGCAGGTGAAGGTAGATAATCTACCATCTTTATCTCTTAAATTTTGAAATTGATAGAAAAAAAATCATAACTCTGAACCGTACAGGATAATAGGTTTAATAGTGTGGTCAAATACATTTAAAGCAGTTTTAACTGATGGATTAAATATGAGAAAGTCTGTTTGAAGTTTGAAATAGGCTTTTTTGGCTTTGTTACAACAATCTTTTTTAGCGCTAGTTAGTGTTCCAGATGCATTAACTGTCAGACCCAAATACTTGTACTGTTTAACACAATAGATATTAATATTGTTGTTATTCGGATGGAAAGGGATTTTGATGTGTTTGCCGGATGAATTGAAGACTAGAATTTTTGTTTTCTGTGTATTAACTTTGAGACGAGACGCCAGTCCTTGCAGTATGTATTTAGTATATTGAGTTTTTCTTGCAGACCTTCAGCAGTGGGGGAAAGAAGTATCATGTCATCAGCATACATGAGACAATGAATAGATGTAGATGAATCATTGTTTAATTTTACTAAACTTTCAGAATTTGATAGATAATTTGGTAGGTCATTAAGGTAAATCTTAAATAAGTTTGGACTCATGTTATCGCCTTGTCTAACCCCATTGTATGTGTGAAAGTGACCAACTAATTTGTTACCCAGTTTAATAGACGAATGGCTTTTAGAATATATTTCCTTAACAACTGAGTAAAAAGTGCCGATACCTGCTTTTAATAGATTAAGTTTCAAACCAGCATGATTTATACTATCAAAGGCCTTATGAAAGTCTACAAAGCAAGCATATAGCTTCCCTAGTCTTGATTTGCAATATTTTTTCAATAATTGTTTTCAAAATAAAAACATGAACTGAAGTTCTTGCTTGTTTTGTAAATCCTATTTAACATGGATTGATTTTTTTTTATTGCATTGTAAATATTTATCTAGTCTTGAGAATATAATTCAAAAGTTTGTCAATTGAGCTGGTAATTACTATTTCTCTATAATTGTCGGGATCGTTAGTGTTGTTAGATTTGTAAACTGGAGTGATGTATCTTCACACTATGAAGAAGGATAACAACCAAGATATAAGCAAGCATTAAGGAAGAGTCTATAACATAACCCAGTCACGGTTTCCGGGAAAATAAATTCCGATTTGGTTAAAGTTTTATATAATTTTAGTATACCGAACCCGATCTACTATTATCGATAATCAGGTCAGTAGGAGTTGGACTCTTACGATTTACCCAAGTAACAAAATGGACGAAGAAATAAGGTAAGGGAACATAGAAATACTAATTTTTTGATAATAAATACAAACAGAGAGTCTTTTTAATGTATTCTGTATGCAATCTTTCACAAACTCCATTCATTCATCATTTAATGTTTACATCTCAATCTATCAATAGCCAAGCTGAAAATTTGACCGGCGACAATGACAAATACTTTATAGAATAACGATAATTGTTTAAATGACTTTATACAACTGCATATCAGTTAAAAATATTAGTCATATCTATTCAAAATTGTGTCTTGTTCATCAATATGTACACAATAACTGAGTCACTGTACAATTTAACACACTCATATTACAATATCATTGCCTTATATAACCCAGTCTTACAACAGATATAACAAAGTTACTACACAGCATAATTCAGACAGTATAAACAATATCCTAGTCGCTTTACAGGGGCTAACAAATCCCCTTGCCCAACACTGGGGGACTAGTGAATTTTAGGGATAGGAAAGTGAATTTTTATTAACCACTTGAGCGAGGGTTAGAAACTTTTTCATGAAAAAAAATTAGTCCCCGAACAACATAACCCAGTCACAGAACAACATAACAAAGTCACAAAGAAACATAACCCAGTCACACAACAACATAACCTGGTCACAGAGAAACATAACCCAGTCAAAGAGAAACATAACCAAGTCACAGAGAAACATAACTCAGTCACAGAACAACATAACCCAGTCACTGAACAACATAACCCAGTCACAGAGAAACATAACCCAGTCACAGAACAACATAACCCAGTCACAGAGAAACATAACCCAGTCACAGAACAACATAACCCAGTCACAGAGAAACATAACCAAGTCACTGAACAACATAACCCAGTCACAGAGAAACATAGCTGAGTCACAAAACAACATAACCCAGTCACAGAGAAACAGAACCCAGTCCCAGAGAAAGATAACCAAGCCACAGAACAACATAACCCAGTCACAGAGAAACATAACCCAGTCACTGAACAGCATAACCCAGTCACAGAGAAACATAATCCAGTCACAGAACAACATAACCCAGTCACAGAAAAACATAACCCAGTCACAGAACAACATAACCCAGTCACAGAACAACATAACAAAGTCACAGAACAACATCACCCAGTCACAGAGAAACAGAACCCAGTCACAAAACAACATAACCCAGTCACAGAGAAACATAACCTAGTCACTGAACAACATAACCCAGTCAAAGAGAAACATAACCCAGTCGCTGAACAGCATAACCCAGTCACAGAACAACATAACCCAGTCAAAGAGAAACATAACCCAGTCACTGAACAGCATAACCCAGTCACAAAGAAACATAACCCAGTCACAGAACAACATAACCCAGTCACAGAGAAACATAACCCAGTCACTGAACAGCATAACCCAGTCACAAAGAAACATAACCGAGTCACAGAACAACATAACCCAGTCACAGGGAAACATAACCCAGTCACAGAACAACATAACCCAGTCACAGAGAAACATAACCAAGTCACTGAGAA